GCTGTGTAATTCTCTTCTTCCTCCAGTTATCATGTCAGACCACCATGATTTGCCATTCAATGATATTCTTGATTGGAGCAAGTTTTCAATAATAATCAAGGAAGATGAGGCTCAACAGATGAAGCACATTCTTGAGAGAATATCCTATGATAGATTCAAATCTCTGCATTACAATACTGTGAAGGTAACAAATGCGAATATCATAGAAAACTCTAATTTTTTTTAAAAAAATTTCAATCTGTTTGAAATTATAAAAAGATGATATACTAATTATCTGGTATGGCTGCATATCAGGCGCAGGGGCATCTACAGTGGAACTCACCTCCCATCAAATATGATGCTTTTCATATGGTCATGTATCAGCTGTGGCGGCGCCGTCATGTTACCAAGTACTGAATGAATTGAATTACTAGAAAATGCCTGGTATACTAACTCTATTGCCTTCAAAGCCTTTTATTTTCAGATGATTGTACAATCCAAATTTTGATCTACTCCTTATAAGGAGTAATCCTCCTATGTTTGAAAAACCATGACAAAGGTTTAGCTGGATATACCTGTCAAGTGATTGAGCCCCTGGGCCTGATTCGACCAGTTTGTCTTCCATTTTTCACTGCAACTAGATCAACCAAACCCTGCCCCTTATGCAGCGATCCACCTCATATTTCTAGCGTTATATCAAGTACCTAACTGGCGTCTGGTATGTGTTTTTTGATAAGCTATCTGCTGTCTGTGTCTGGTATAATGCATCAAAAGTGGCAATCAGATAAGCAAGACAATTATATTAGGTTCAAGCTCTTTATAATTTGTTGAGCGGTTGGAGGCAAAGCACGCGAAAGAGAATTGAAGGTTACAGCTGGTTCACCGAACTGCGTTTGGTATGATGACCAATCCTACCTAGCCCATGGCTTTCTATAATAGCCTTTGATGACGAATAAAAAAAATTACATAGTCAAAGGGATTTCGGTGTAGGGGCAAATTTCCTCTTTATGTAGTGCGCAGGATGTTTCAGCAGAAATGGTACAAGAATTGACTACAATCCCATTGGCTTTTCTTCTTTTCTTTATTTTTTTTTTATTTTTGAAAAATATTGAATCCTGTTAGTTTGGATTTTCCATTCTGGTGTCTCGCTTGACTGGAACTTCACACAATGCATGGTTGAAGTCAGAATTCCTAGTGCATTATTTCTACGTTTTTCTTTTTCTTGTTTAGTCTTTGCTGTGTTTTCATGGATGAAGTCAGAATTCCTAGTGCATTATTTCTACTCATGCATGGTTGTTGGCCTTGTCATGACAGGACAACATTAGAGAATTTAGCATTTTGATGTGACACATCATGGACGGATTCAGACCCTCCTTTCCCTTTCTCTCCTCCCTTTCTATTGCCATATATTCCTCAACAGTAGTAACACATATTGTTGATTGGCCAAGGCTTTCGACTCAATGACAGTTCCCCAGAAATTTGGATGACACCGGGAAATCCTCATAACCCTGATTTCATTTGAATTTTTTAGAATATTCAAAACCACGGACTTGACACTGTTGAGAAGGTTGGCAACGTTGCCAGTGCTCTTAGACTGAAATTAACTTTAACCAAAGCCTTCGTTTTTTGACCCTCGAGGCCCAGCAAAAGAACTTTAAAAAAACAGAAAAATCCGCCCTTTTTGACTATATTTCTTGGCTTCTCATCTTCCTGTGGCTTTTCAATTAACAACTTAAAATTCATTTACCAAGATGATATGGATTTTTAAATTTCCATTGACTTGGAGCTGGCCAATCTGGCATCTTACAAGTTTCTTGTGGTTGGACACCAAGACATTTTTGCTATGACACCATTTTTTAATTAATCTTTTGATGGTTTTGTTTAGGTTATTTGATTATTTTCTTAAGACAAAAGTTATCACATTAGCTAGCCAACACGTCGATGCACGCATGCATTGCATGCACGTAAAGGCAACAAACAACTGTCCAAATATAATATGACTTGCCCAATTAACAATATGTCAGTAACTTTTTTTTTTTTTTAAATAGCTACCTAATATTTATAGTTAAATCTTCTGTTTTTTTCTTTTTGTCAAATGAAAATTAATAGTCCACTACCATTGTGATTGTGAAAGGTAAAATTTTAGTCACGAGAAAATTTGTTTGAAAAAATAATAACATTTAGAGACCTCAACAGTTAAGGTATTTTGTATTTTTTAGATATTCGATCTCAAGTTCTATTAACTAATAAGATACATTAGTTTTATAACTACTTAAATAAAATTTAAAAATACTATCAATATTCTGGACACTATTCGTTAAATACCTCAACTTATTAATTACTTGATTAATCGAGTCAAATTTTTTTTATATGTTCATAGTTACTCGATTAAGTAACCCGAATTTAAATCTAAAATATTCAATTCAATTTACTGATAAAATAATTTATCAATTATATTTATGATATATAAAATTGAGTTGAAGTATTGGATACTTGATATTACCCAAATATTTATAATTGAATTTAGATATTAAATAATCAAGAAGGGACACGTATATCTTATTTGAACTCAAAAAAAGAATAAACTCATCGTAAACCAAAATAAAAAATAACTGAAATTTTATTTACACGAAATAAATAGTTGTAAATATCCTAGTAAAGCATAATCGTTAACATCCCTAATAATATTAAAGCATTGCGAAGAAGTAGTGACGCGGATTCTTCCAAAACCCAACAAGAAAACTCATGGTGCAAATGAAAAAGAAGAGCAAAACCCCAAATAATTCTGCTTTTCCAAAGCTTGAGTGATAACAAAGATCAATCATAACTTGAAAGTGTAGTATTTGTTGAGCACTGTTAGCGATGTTTAAGCTTACGCATGATTCATGATGCAGCCTTGAATACGATGGAGCATATATAAAAGGTTTCCCTCCACCAGAACTGTTATTCAGAAGAGCACTAATGTCATGTCCGTCACGTAATTGACATCCTACACATAACCACGTTGTTTCTCTTTAACTTTACTTGTACCTATTGTTTATGGACACATAAAGCAGCAAGCGCCGAGCGCACACTAATAACGTGACTAGTAATACACCATTTGTCGTTTCGCCCTTCCACTAACAATGCACATTTATCCTTAGAACACCATGTATATCTCCATGCTTTGTTTTCAAACATATTAATTCTTGCTTGAACAAACATAAGTCAATGATTGACATATAATAAAGCTTGCATTAATTAGTTTGGCATTGCGTGTACTGCACTCTTATTAACTTGCTTAAAGATTGATTATGGAATTTCTTGTGAGCAAAATATACATTAAGAATATATAGTTTTCCATTTATATCATGCTAAATTGAATAATCATATGTATTTATGCAATGCTAGGTAATATATATATATACAGTTGCTTGTGGGTCATTTATGAGAGTTTGAGGGCATAAAAAATGTTGAAGTTGTCGGATGTAGGGTGCAATTTTGGATCTTCACACTAAGAATTGGCCATAAGACTTGCCAAAAATGTATTAAATCAATATTAAGGAATGGAACAAGTAAAAGGAATATAATAATCACATATATATAT